GTGGTTGTGAAATTTACCAAGCAGCGTCTCAGAGATCAAATTTTAAAAGCAGTGTCATCAACACCTTTGAAAATTGGAGACCAGACGATCAGAATTTTGAAAGATGTTCCATTTGAAATCAGAATGAAGAGAAAGGAATATAAAGGGTTGATTATGTTCTTGCAAAGTCACCAAACTAATTATAAATGGTTGATACCCGAAGGACTTGTCTTTAAGTTTAAAGACAGAAGAGAAAAGATAGACTCCATCTTCAAGGCTGAAGACTTTTTGAAGAGGCACGCCAGCTCAGAGGACGAGGCAGAACTCGCTAGGTGGATGGCAGGAACTAGCGAAGAAGACAGCAGCTCGGAGGGAGAGGTGAAAGATGAGAAAGACAAAGGAGCGGCTAGAGGGCCAAAATACAATTTAAGAGGCAAAAAAGGGAAGCACCCCAACGTTTGAGAACCAGTTCGGAAAGCGCATTAAAAGACAATACTAACCCCAAAGGGACACTATTAACACACTAACTAACCGGTTTTGAAAGATATAGAAGAAAAAGGGATTGTCCAGCTGCAGAAGAAGATTTTCACTTTGACTTTACTAATAAAAGTTTAAAATACTAATTTTTAACATCACTCAACACTTTTCTTTACCCCTCTATATACCCTTCCTAACTTTCTGAAATGTAAAAGCAATAAAATTCTCTCCTTTTTAGGAGAGGGAAATTTAAAAAAAAAAAAGTATTATCTCTCCACAACAAAAGAGCTAGAAACTTATTTTAAAAATGAAAGCCAAGAATCCAGAGGAGCTAGGAGATTGTGGCAATAGAAACTATTTTCCTATGGCAATCTAGCAACTGCCATTTTTTTAAAAAATCCCCCATGATGCCCTTTCGTGACACAGTGGCAGCTACAGGAGACAAGGAAAATGCAAGAAAATTGGCAGAGGTCACTAGAGCGACACCACGCCACCGCATGAAAGCAGCCTGACTCAGCCAAGGTGAACAAAGATTCATGGCTGAAACGGGGATTCGAACCAAAGTCTCCCCAAGTCCATGTTCAATATAATATCCATTGTATCATCTTAACAGAATACCAAAAGGCGAAGCTTTTCCTGCCAATCAGCACAAAAGGAAAAAGCTTCAGCTGTTGGTTTTATACACCCTTGCATCTATAAAAAGCACAGAGCTGCTGTCTAAAAATTCAGGGAGGAGAGGTCTATCAATGGCTACTAGTCATGATGATGAAAGGGAACTTCTATATTCCAGTCCATCAAAGCTATGAATATCTGTGCTAGGAGGAAGCATCAGATGAAGGCCTCAGCCTCTGTGCTCTGTTTGTTGGCCCTCCAGGGCAACTGGTTGTCCACTGCATGAAACAGGATGCTGGTCTAGATGGACCACTGGTCTCATCCATCATGGATGCTCACCTCTTCTTGTCCTTTTGGCCCTATCATATCAGGTTAAGCATTTCATTTTACCTCTGAATTTCCGTAGAATTCTTCGCAGGTACGTGCTGTCTTGAGAAAATTTATTGAGCCTTTTCTTCACATGTGAAGAATCGGGTACAGCTGGAAACTGAAATCCCCACTTCTCACACCTGGAGGCAGAAAGGAAAGGAGACAAAAAGAATCATATATTTATTTTCCTATTATTTTCCTATTCATCCCACTTTTCAGGCAGATTGACTCTCAAAGGTGCTCAGGGTCAGAACCACCACAAACGACATTCAGATTCAATATTAACATTCCTCAGGAGGCGATCCTGTGCTGAACTGTCATTCATGACTTTCAAATTAATTCCTCACATTTCTCTATTCTCCCTGTTGATGGTGGTTCGAAGCTGGAGGGAGGGTAGCTCTCAGCTGGGGCAGGATTCATACGTGGTGGAGTGCTTTGTGCAAGAAGAGGTGCCACAACTCTTCCCTGTCAGACGGTAGCCTGGACTCCACACTAGCTTAAGGAATGAGTAAAGCCTTCATTCTCAGAATTACACAGGATGCACTGATGAGGTCCCAGTGCCACTTTTTAAAGACCAAAGCAGCTTGGGAAGGGGGGAGTTTATAGCAGAGAAGTGCTGGCACATGACTCTCCCTCCCTCTATCTTTCTCCCATTATATATGTACATCCAGAATTCCGTAGGGGGAAGCAGCTGAGAGGGGAAGTTTTGAGCCCAGAGAGAGACAGAGAGAGATGGTGCCAGAGCAGTCACACACAATGCATTAGCTTAGCACGTAATGTTCACGGAGCCTGTAAGACTGGTGGAAGCACATCTGTAGATCCCACAGCAGTCAGTGGAATGGCAGCATTGACACAAGCACTGCACTCTGATGGCAATAGTTTAACTCCAGCCCAGAACATGGGCAGTGCCACGCAGAAAATTTCAAATCTCATCCAATTCAGCTTTTGGATATATTTAGCTATTCTGCACCGTTTATACTTTTTGCTGCTGAGGGAGGGGGAGCTATACAGGGCACTGAAATTTGTAATTGGTTAAAGAACTAAGGATTTCTATACCATTTATTTATTTATTTATTTATAATTCGATTTATATCCCGCCCTCCCCTAAGGCTCAGGGCGGCTAACAATTGAGGCAAAAGTCATAATTAAAACAATTAAAACAAGATAAAAACATAATAGTACAACAAAGTGCTGGTGCTCTGATGTTCCCAGTTGCAAGATGGGTTCCGGTAGGGTGGATCCTGATCAACGACACAAGTTCCAAAGCGGCAGATAGCCAGTCTTCTTCCCAGGGCCCGCTTGCACCCTGATGGTATCTCTGCCAATTTTCGGCGATGGTGTATTGATGGAACAGTAGTGGCGGCGGCTCCTACTCGAAAGCCTGGCGGAAGAGCTCCGTCTTGCGGGCCCTGCGGAACTGCGCAAGATCCCGCAGGGCCTGGATCTCCTCCAGGGGCTCATTCCACCAGGTAGGAGCCACCACCGAAAAGGCCCTGGCCCTAGTCTCCGCAAATTTGACGTCCCTGAGGCCTGGAGTAGTCAAAAGTTGTTGCCCCCCCCGACCATAGTGCCCTTGGAGGAACATATGGGGAAAGGCAGTCCCTTAGGTATGCCGGACCCTGACCATAAAGGGCTTTAAAGGTAAGAACCAGCACTTTGAAGCGGATCCGCTACGCTATTGGCAGCCAGTGCAGTGCCTTCAGCACAGGCCGGATGTGGTCCCGCCTAGGGAGACCCGTCAACCATACCCAGTGGAGATCCAGAATGACTTATAACATCGTACTCCCCGCCTCCATTTTATCCTTACAACATCAACTCTGTGAGGTAGGTTAGACTAGGAGACAGAGTGACCGGCACAAGTCACACAGTGAGCTTCCATGGCAGAGTGGGGATTCAGGCTCTCTCAGATCCTAGTCTGACTAGGGATGGGCAAGAACCAGCTCACGAACTCAAGTTTGTGATGAATTTTGGGCAGTTCATGGTCCAAGAATTGAAGTTCATAGCAGGTCAACTGGCACAAACTTTCCACGAACTTTCAAGCAGTTCCAGTTGGTCGATGCATGGATACATTTCCAGACAGACTGCCTCTAGTCAAACAAAATGGTTACCGAATTTCAAAGCAACAGAGCAACTTCAAAGCAATGAGGGGTGGAATTCTACAGCCTTGGAAATGTCAATAGGTTCACTGTGTGTTTGATGTGCACAGCTTGCACTTTTGAACCTACGCCTGACATTTTCCCCAAAAGCACTTTCCTGAGGGCACCTTCTTTGGGGGGCCATAACTTGGATCCCATAAATCCAATCCTCAACAAACTTGGAGGGCAGGTAGAGGAGAGTCAGCCAGAGATTACCTGCTAGTTTTGTGTCTCTAACCCATTGGGGGGGCCGTTCTACCACACCACAAACATCATGAACTGAACCAGTTCATTTGGCTCCTAAAAGTTAGTGACAGTTCATGGTCTGTGAAAGAACCACGAAACAAACCACATTTTCCCAGTTTATGCCCATCCCTGAGTCTGACACTCTAAGCACTACACAACACTGGTTCTCATCCCCTTTTCCATCCCTTCCTCATTGGGACTGGGCCTTAAATCCCATCTCACTGGTTGGCCTTTGGATCTTGGTAAACAGACTGCGCACTACACTTCCATGCCATTGAAATGTGTTTGAACCATATTCTGAACTCGTGAAATGCAACTGTATGTGTGGAACATATACCACCCCTTCCAAAATTATTGAAAACACTGTTATTTATCATTAAATACAGTACATAATAATCATAATACATTGCTACCTTTTTACTGAGAAAGACTTTTTCTGTGCCTCCAGTGGCTACACAACAGGGAAAGAAATGCTGCGGTTGTTGCCTCTGTTGAATTTCTGCCTGATGTGCATCTGCTGAAGACACAGAGCAGACTATTTGCTGACAGCAAGTCATTATGAAAAGAAATGGAAGTCTAAATGCACTCTGGCTTAGCCTTTACACATTCTATTTCCCATGATACTGGTCCCACACCAATCTCTCCTTGTCTTAGCACACTAAACAGAAAAGGGTTTGCAGGAAAACATATTTTTATTAGAAACAAAAACAGAAATGCACATACCTGTCCAATTCGCATCTAATATCCTGCAGTGAAGAAAGAAAAGAAGATTTAGACAGATTTCACACATTCCATTTGAAGTATTGGGGGGTCTCCCGGACTGGAGCATGCCAATGTGAAAGACAGAAAATGTAGTTTTAAATATGCTTGTATCATCGGGTCTTTTCATTTAACTGATGACTATGCAAAAATGTGGATCTACCACCACATTTTAACCTTCGTATGATTTCTGCATCATCTGGCAGAAGTTTTCAGTTTCCTGCTCACCAGATTTTGCCTCTGTGGAGTAACATATTTTGTTACATAGATGTAATCCTTTCCTCATGGTGTTAGTGTCTCTTTGGCCCCTATTATCAGCACGGTTCCCATATGGAGTTTCAGACAGTTGCCTCTGAACATGACCATAAGTCCACATCTGGTTGGCCCTTATAGTCAGGGGTCTTGTTGTAGAAATGGTTCTTTCTGACCCTTTTGTACGTCCACATCTGGTTGGCCCTTATAGTACACTGTCTTGGGGGGCGTGTGGTTCTTTCTGACCCTTTTGCTTAGGAGTCCATTGCCAGGGACAGTGCAGTGTTATAGAATGAGTGCCACAGGGATCGCACTTAAGACTTTGCCTGACTTATCCATGGCCTAAATTGGCTTACGTTTTCGAGCAGTCGCCTTCATCCCATCAAGTCACATTGGAGGAAATACACAGGGAGCTGCAGATTTTTACCTCCACCCCTGCCCCCCCCCACTCCAGGGGCTGCTATGATACTTTTGAAAAAACTTTGTCACCTGACCCTTCTGCTTAGGAGTCCATCGCCAGGGACAGTGCAGTGTTATAGAGGGAGTGCCACAGGGATCACACTTAAGACTTTGTCTGGCTTATCCATGGCGTAAATTGGCTTACGTTTTCGAGCAGTCGCCTTCATCCCATCAAGTCACATTGGAGGAAATACACAGGGAGCTGCAGATTTTTACCTCCACCCCTGCCCCCCCCCACTCCAGGGTCTGCTATGATACTTTTGAAGAAACTTTGTCACAGATCTAGATCTAATGCAGCTGGACCCTAATTGCAGTTGGACCCTTCGTAACAGACAGAATTCCTGCTCACATGGAAGCAGGAATTTTACACCTGCTGCCACAAAATGCAAACGCCTTCATTTCCAAACTGTTCGGAAAGTTGCAATAAAGAGTATCTCTGTGTCACCCATCAGTCTCTTTCAGTGGTACGGCACATATTTTATATGCAAAGAGTCCCTAGTTCAATCGTCAGCCTTTCCAGTTGAAGGATCAAAGGCAGCAGGTTTTGGGAACTACCTTTATCTACCAGTGGTTCAACATCTCACTCCTGAATGCACAGCTGTGCTAAAGAAAGCAGGCTACAAAATTAAAGCCTTTGTGATAAGAGCAACTGAGAGGTTCGGAGGTCTTACCTGCAGGAATTCATTTGCTGGTTGCTTAACCTTCTTTTCCACATCACCAATCAGATCAGTGATGTAAGATATTTCATCCACAAACTTGCTTGCATAGTCATCTCTTTTCCTCTCGATCTCCTTTTCCAGGTCTCTCAGCTTGGACAGCTGGACTTGCTCTTGCTGTTCCAAAAACTGCCGCTGTTGTTGGAATTCAGACACAATCTCCTGCCTCCTGGCTTGCACCTCTTTCTGTAATGGGTAGGTATGAATAGAAAGGTTGGATTAAGACCCTGCACAGCCAACATAGTGCTTAATCCACAATCCAGTCCCATCAAATACCTGGAATGAAATCGACTTGAACTGATTTCATTTACATCTAAGTCAGATCAGACCATTTGGCCATCTAGCAGAATACTTGTGATCTCTTCTTACAGACTGTGACTTTAAGATCTGAGACAGATATCTTTCTTTACCATGTTTTTAACTGGGATGGCATCCTTGAAAAAGGGCTGAAGTTATAGAAGCAACAACTATTTCCATTGCACTACCGTAGTTCTAATAATGGTGCCTTAAAAAAACTGTTAAAGAAAGTTCACTGGGGCTGCTTTCACGTGGCAGATTTCCCCCTTTTCAGCCATCCAACTGGTCCAGTTTTTTTCCTGTTTCCACACGATACCATTCTGTGCTCAAATCATGAGCAACCCTTTCTTTCTACCAACCCCCCCCCCCAATGTATTTTAAATCTGTAAAAAAATTGCTGTTTCCCTGGCAGGACACTATCAGCACGGGCAGTTAATTTCGTTTGAAAGGGAAATTATGCCTCGGGTTTGAATGACAGGAAATGCCCTCTCTACTCCCTTTTTCTTCATTTTGTTGATTAACTGTCCTGAAGTAGCT